TTTGCTTCGCATTTGCTTCGCATTTGCTTCGCATTTGCTTTTTGCTTTGCATTTGCTTCTTGCTTCTTGCTTCGCATTTGCTTCGCATTTGCCTCGCATTTGCCGAGCATTTGCCTCGCATTGCCGGAGCCTCATCCTCATTGGAACGGCGGCGAAATGTTGCGCATGGCGAGCATGAAAGCAAGGTCGAACAAACCTCTACTCCCAGACCGCAGTAGACGAAAACCCTGTGCTACGCATTGAAGAAAAATCAAGATCAAACAATATAATATCAAACATACAACACCGTTACTGCAAGAGTTGTTCATAGTGGAATCAAGGCAAGGTATGTTCAATCAAGATGTTAATTCTGTTTTATTGACAGGCGCTTAGCTGATCGTAGGCTGGCATTATCGGCGAATTCGTCATTCCTCACCTGTGCTTCGCGGCACCTCCACACACGCCGGGACTCAGGACCATGTATTATATAGTGTGCGTTTGTGATAGTAATGTTTTTCTCGCCCCCACCACCGTGCCACAATCGATACCTTGACTACGGGACAGAACGAGTCAAAGCCACGCTAGCTCGCTGAGTTCGCCTTGCACTGCACGTTTCAACCACGGTTCGTGGGCGCGTGCGAGCTGCGCCTGACACTGACTCTACAAGCGATTTGTGCAACTTGTCATGCATTTCTGATCAATTCTTAGATTTGGCGGGGCCCAATCCTGTGTCCTTACATAATTCATCATAATTCGAATATCCAGCCTGTCATTGTGCACGTGCGCTTTTGATTCCTTTCCACAACGAACTTCGTTTACAACCGGAGGCCGTGTTTTGTATTCCGCCTGCGTTTGTCGAAAAAACGCTCGATTGGTCCGATTGCCGCCTGCCAATTGTTTCATTTCGAATTCACGTGAGGATGGGGGCGTGGCCAGGATTCTGCGATTGGCCCAGACATGACATGTCAAGATGTTTTGGCTTTCGGGTACTTCGGTTTCTGCACGAGACCGCTTCGGGTTCACGTCACAGGTCGCAGCTCCCAGACACGTCGACTGCCGAGTTCGGGTGGAATAACTTGGACTATTGCAACTGGGTAATGGGAGGTTATTGGTTCACTGCATGCAGAGTCTGAGGCTTTATCATGATGAAGTGGATTTCTCGAACAATGAGCTCACTTCGATTGGTATGGCTTCTGTCATGGCCTCGCTTATGTGCGAGGGGCAGGTGGAAGCAGTGTCGTTCATCAGGTCGTTGCCATTTGTAAAAGGAGCTCCTCTAGGCTCCCCTGAAAACGCAAAGGAAGTGATTCAGGAAAAGCTGTGAGAAGAGGTACATTCATTAAAGTGGAAATGAGTCTCCATTACTACTATAGCCATTATTTCTGAGGTTGAAAGTGCTGAAGCTCTTCAAGAACTCAATCGCAGACGACTGCGTGGCGCATTTTGAGGATTTGTCGTTTCCTTGGCACTGTCTGAAAGAGGGATTGCGTGAACATGCGTGAACAATGACTTTGTGTCATTATGATTTATTTTGTATGCATACCATATTTTTACTATTATGCACCGTCATTGTTTGATTCAGCAGTTAAATAAAATAGTTCCCCACCTGTCAGGTGAGGGTTGTTAGATTTTATGTCAGCCCCATCTCCTTCCTTCTCCTTCTTCTCCTCCCTCTCCTCCTCGTCCTCCTCCGCCGGACCCCAACCACAACCATCCACGTCCAGTGTTCCCTGCCGACCTCAACCGTGACCATCCACGCCCAGCGTTCCCTGCCGAACCTCAACCACGACCATCCACGCCCAGTGTTCCCCGCCGGACCGCAACCACGACCATCCACGCCCAGTTCCCTGCCGGACCTCGACCACAACCATCCGCGCCCAGTGTTCCCCGCCGGCCCTCAACCACGACCATCCGCGCCCAGTGTTCCCTGCCGGACCGCTACCACAGCACACAACCACAAACACATACTTTACAAACAGAACAACAAACAGAACGACAGACACAACCACAAACACAACCAGACACACAATCACAAACACGCAACCACAAACACACAACCACAAACACACAACCAGAAACACAATCACAAACACACAACCACCAACACAACCACAAACACGCAACCACAAACACACAAC